GCTGGCTTTTGAACTTGAATAGTTAATTGTTTGACTTTCATGTTCGGAAGATCTAAAGTAAAGCCGATCAGATCAGAATAAATTGCTTCTGAATTAATAGCAAAGTCCATGTTTGATCCCTCTGTCTACTTCAAACTAAGTCTTTTTAATTCAAGTATTTGTGGAACTAAAAAAGCAGTAAGCCCCAATATATACATGCTGCCATTCGGGCTCAACAAATCCACTCAAGACATAGTACTTTTGATTTTCACTTCCGCAAACAATAGTGTGTGTGTATATATATATAAGTAGTCTGGTTTTGCAAATGAGTAGCCTCTCAAGAGACCTGAATGCATCCCCTTTAGAGCCTGAAAATTTTAGGGTAGAGTCCAAAAGAGTGATTGACTTCATAGCAGATTACTACAAAAACATTGAAACATACCCAGTTCAGAGCAGAGTGAAGCCTGGATATTTAGCAGGCAGGTTGCCAAGCTCGGCTCCATTTTCCCCAGAATCCTTGGAAACCATTCTCCAGGACATAGCCGAGAACATTTCACCAGGTCTTACTCATTGGCAGAGCCCTAACTTCTTTGGTTACTTCCAAGCCAACGCAAGCACCGCTGGCTTCCATGGCGAAATGCTTTGTTCAGGCCTCAATGTGGTTGGTTTCAACTGGATTTCTTCCCCTGCCGCCACTGAACTTGAATCACTTGTCATGGATTGGATGGGAAACATGCTCAAACTACCATCTTCCTTCTTGTTTTCTGGGTCTGGTGGTGGAGTCTTACATGGAAGTACCTGTGAGGCAGTTGTTTGTACTTTGGCTGCCGCAAGAGACAAAACCCTAAACCAACTTGGTGGTAATTACCAAAACATTACAAAGTTTGTGGTTTATGCTTCTGATCAGACGCATTTTACCCTTCAAAAGGCTGCCAAGTTGATAGGAATTCCTCCATCCAACTTTAGATCTCTCACCACCTCATTTCCCTCAGGCTTTTCACTCTCGCCAGAGAAACTACAATCTGCCATTAAAGATGACATCAAATCTGGATATGTGCCATTGTATGTATGTGCAACAGTTGGAACCACAGCAGCTGGTGCAGTAGATCCTATTCTGGAGTTGGGAAAGGTTGCTCAAGAGTACAACTTATGGTTCCACATTGATGCAGCTTATGCAGGGAGTGCGTGCATATGCACTGAATTCCGCCATTACTTGAATGGAGTGGAGCTTGCTGATTCAATAAGTACGAACCCACATAAATGGCTCCTCACCAATATGGAATGTAGTTGCTTGTGGGTTAAGTCACCTTCATCATTGGTGGATTCATTATCCACCAAATCTGAAATTATGAGAAATGCTGCTACTGATTCCAATCAAGTAATTGACTACAAAGATTGGCAGATTGCACTGAGCAGACGATTTAGAGCTTTGAAACTGTGGATTGTCATCCGTAGGCATGGTCTGTCTGGTCTCACATCCCACATTCACAAGGATATAAAGATGGCAGAGCTTTTCGAGAGTCTAGTTGCAAAAGACAAGAGATTTGAGATAGTGGTGCCGAGAAAGTTTGCATTGGTTTGCTTTAGGTTTAAGCCAGAGAAGGAGAACCAGGATTTATCAGAACTGAATAGTAAGCTGTTAAATGCTGTGAATTCGAGTGGGTGTGCATTTATGACTCATGCAGTGCTGGAGGGTGTTTACACCATACGCTGTGCGATTGGAACAACGCTTACCGAAGAACATCATGTGGTTAATCTTTGGAAGCTTATTCAGGAAAAGGCTCAATCCCTGATTATAAATGAATACTAAACCACCAGCACAGTAGTCTATAGTCAAACTCCTAGCGCTCCACATAAAGAGGAATTTGATGACCAAATCTTGAGCAAGGATGGGAATGGGAGACAAATGATTAGCTAGCATGGTTGAGGAGATACTTTTTACTGCAAATATGCAGTCATTTTTGGCAGACAGACCAGTAATAGTAGAGATCTTCAAGCTTTTTGTCAAGGATTGAATCATATTGTCTGTTAGTAGTTATCTTTTGGTGTTAGTTTTTTTTGTCTTTTCCTGAAAGATAGCCACTATGGAATACTTTTACTGCAAATTTGCAGTCATTTTTGGTAGATAGACCAGTAATAGTAGAGATCGTTAAGCTTTTTGTCAAGGATTGAATCATATTGTCTGTTAGTAGTTATCTTTTTGTGTTAGCTATTTTTGCCTTTTCCTGAAAGATAGCCACTGGACTATGGAATATATCCAGCATCATATCTGCTTTGCAGCATTTCTAAGTACTGCCTACAGTAGTTAGTTATCCTGCTTTATCTTTAGCATAAAACCTAGTAGGATGTAAGGGAATGTTATGTGAAGATTCATTGTCTTCCATAACTATCACTCTTCTGTGTCTCCCCAGCCCTCTTCCTTTCTCTGCCTCCATTCTAACCTACTTCCTATGCAAACCTTGTATTCCTTCCTAAACAAGTCAGGGAATCATTCACCAACCTGCGCTCTTTAATTAATATTGTTACTAATGCAATTTCTGGTTGATAGTTCCAGTTATGGAGTTGTCAGAATGGTGGCGCAGTGCAAAACACTAAATATATATATACTTAAAAATTTAGTTTTTGGAGTAACAGCCTGTCTTATTGGAAGCGGAATCAGATGCTAGAGAATATAATTCTGTGGTAAAAATCAAATATTTTTAAGGATTAAACTGGTACAAGATAAGGTGTTAAACACCTGCTCTATAGCATAGACAAAGTGACCGACGAGTTTCATATGCATTCCTATGAGCTAGCTATTATGCCATGTGTAATTGTTACACTCACGCACAACTAAAATTTATCAATTTATATATATACAAGTCATATGGTGGGAATTCAAGAAAGAAAAATATGATAAAAACGAAATTACTTAATTCCAGTCTTGTGATTGTTTAGATCAATCCCATTAATCCACAAACAAGAAAGGACTACTTTAGCATGTGAAGCAAACATAATATAAAAACCTTAAAGAAATTGAAGGTAAAAAAAAATCCATTTATTAGTAAAAGTAATCAACATATTAAGCAGTAAAATAATAAACACCAATCATAACCCCAATTGCCTTGGACCATATGTATCATGATATATTCATTTTAACCCCTTCAGCCAAATACTTATCCTATAACTTATTCGTAGGTGCATATGGAGAATCGAGAAAGTTTCGTTGATGAATGGATACAACCCGAGAAAGGTGCAGCAAAATATGGATTACAGAGTTTTAACTACTCATTCTGTAGGTAAACTCTAAGCATAATGGGGGCACACGAATCATAAACAGGATCATTACCCCAAATTAAAGCATATTTAGTCTGATTTCATTGTTCTAACACAAAAGGGAGGATTCAAAATAGAATACGGCATTTTGAGAAGAGTAAATGGCGGTAATACAAGGTTTAAATAACTACATCAAATCATCCTCCTCTATTCATCATTTAAACCCGTCGTTGAACATGATTTACATGTAAAAATCAGTATATACCTTTTGAAAGTAGCTGGGAAAAGAATGCTTACATTTCATCTTATGCTTTATCTTATTGCTCAGCTTCACAATTCCTTTTCTGCTCTGTATCGTTCTGCTTTTTCTTCAAATTTTTGAAACCTTTCTTCTCCCCGTTTTTCTCGAGTCTCGAAGTCAGAGAAAAGCCAAAACCGAGCTCCCTCTTCCCCCCTCTTTTCTCACGTCCCGAAGTCCAGAGAAGTAGGCCAAATCAAGCTCCCTCTCTCAGAATCCTCGAGCTCTTCCTTGAAAAATGGCCTTCATCCTGTGATTCCTGCTTCAAGGAAATCCTAGCCTTCTCACGCAGCCTCCGCTTGCAACAGCCCTTCTCCATTCTTCTACGCATGCAACTCTTCTCTCTCTTCCAGGTCAGTCGACCGTTACAACTAGTCGAGATTCATCGTGATTTTATCTCCTGCTTCGCAACTTCTATTACCCTCAATGTGCTCGATTCATCATCATCTTGCAGCTCTCTTAATGTCACGCCCATAATTTTCTCCTCTCTCTCTCTCTCTCTCTCTCTCCTCGTCTTCTGCGACAATTACCTCCATTTCATTCTGTTTTGAGAACCAAAGAAAACCTACCTTCTGCTTAAACGTCACCGTTTTCCTGCTTAAACCAAAGAACGAATTTGACTAAATCAATCAAATTAATGAAAAAAGTTAAGAACAACAAATTAATAATATTAATTTAATTAATTATTCAAATTCATTCTTTTGGGTTATTTTAAAGTGTCCAAATAATATTTAAAATAAATAAAAATATCATAAAACCAAATTGTAACATGAAACATTATAAATTAAATTGTAACAAACGTCAAATTTTTGAGATTAATTTGATAATTTTTTTTTTTCATTATTTAGTACTTCAAAGTTATTCATACCTTATATATATATATAATGAATAATCTATTCAACGTTGATTTATATGTCGCATACTGTGAAATAATCACAAAAAATTTAAATAGCATTAGGTATATATTTGTATTTCATTTTTATTTTTATTCTATAGGATTAGAATTTAAACCAAAATTTAATCTTATTATGTATATAATAAATGATATTTTTTTATAATTATACTTAGAATTTAACCTAAATTTTAATCTTACTGTCTAATTTTCTAGGAGACTTGGAAGACTTTGAACCACAATATAAACACAATTATAATAAACAATATTTGCTCATACTAATTAGATTTGTTTAGCTTCATCTTTTGGGGTTCTATATTTATGTTAAAAAAAATATATATATATATATATATGAAGAACAGCCTCAGAAACGTATTGTTGCTTTGGCATCATCACAGGGATTTGGTATTCTACCAAAGATTCATTAAACAAGACAAGAATGCAGCCACAAGTTTATATTTTTTAAATACTTCAATATACATATATATGTACATATATGTATATATATATATACACGAGTCAGCAGTCGAGTAGTGATTAGTGTTATGCATTTCCAATCCCATGCTTGTACGTACACTATAATCCACCTGGCTGGCCATAGTTAGCTACGTTACAGAATTTGGCAATAATATATACATATACATATATATATTTGTATATAATTTCTAATAATAAATATAAATATAATTATTGTATGGCAAATCTAATTAGAACAAAAAATTAGTCATACTTCCTACATGATAGAACGAATTAACATTTCTTGCTCAAGCAATACCTTGTATTTGTTAAGAGATAACCAAATCAATTTAATTCATATTTTGTTGGATGTGAATCCATATCTATATACATACCCACTTATATAAATACATGAATTTTAGGCATAGATATAAACTTTAAATTTTTTAGTTATGTAAAATGCATGATTTTTTTTAGAGTTATTTTACCGTCTCCTGCGTTAAATAATAATAAATTGAATTAATTATCTTAAAAATTTAAGTTAATA